TACGGGGGCGGGTTTCTAATGACCCAATCCCGAGCAGATATGTGCTCGATCGAGGGCCTGCCCGGGAACAATCGGGGGTGGAAGAACCGGATATTCTTGGTTAAATACGACCCGTGGATTCTCCCGATCGAGAGGGTTTGGAGCCAACGCTTCCGGAAACAAGTCGTGCCGGTCGAGACACAGGCCCTCAAGGACGCGGTCACCAAGATCTCGGGCGAGATATACGAATACCGGATCTTCAAGACGGCCGAGAGCTACGAGGCGACCCAACTACCCGAGCTGGTCTACGATCTGCCTGAGAAGTATAAGCCCGAGCCGATGGGCGTAACGATCACGAGGGCACCCGCTCGGGGCAAACGGAAGGGAAAAGGTCTAACACTAACCAATTCTCGCCGACCTTAACACCCCGAACGCCCTTTATTCCCGATCTAACTGTCTTCTTTTTGTTTTGCAGAGATGGTAGGTCTTGGTGATGATGACGCCCCTCTACCCCCGGTGGCCAAGATCGTGCTTGGCAAGAAAAAGCCAAAGACCAAGCCAACCGGGGAGAAGGAAATCCCACTTGCCCGACCGATGGGCTCCTCGACCATCACTACGCCGGAAGGCTACGTGGTTGACGCGGCCGATGTCTTGGTTTCCCGGGTGGTCGTTGCCAAGGGCAAGGAGAAAGTGCCCGAGAAGGGCGTGGCTGAGGGTGGCGCGCTGAAGCGCCGACGGGAGTAACGCAGCCCGAGCCCCTCGGACGGGGCCGGCAAGGGCGGCTCGTCTATTCTCGCCCAGATCGGCAACGCCGGGCCAGCTAAGGAAGACCTAAGGAAGCTAACCCCGACTCAGGTGGCCGAGAAGATCGGCTACGACTTGGCCGAGGTAAAAGCTTCCTTCCTCTCATCTCTTTATTCAAGTAGTCCCACTCGGGCTTAACCAGATCGTCTGTGCATTGCAGATTTCCCGAGCGGCTCAACTTCTGCAACGATAGGCCCTGCAAGCCAACGAGGCCGCCACTTTGAAGAAGGTCGCCGACCGGCGACTCCAAGAAGTAAAGGACCTCCAGGCAGAGCTGACCAAAGCCCAGGAGGACCTGAAGAAGAGTCGGGAGGACCGGGACCTATCTGAGAAGGTCGCGCAGCAGGCGATCGGAGAGGTCGCCGAGTTGAAGACGGCGGCTCAGCAGGCGAACGGGGAGATCGCGGAACTGAAGGCCCGGTTGAACAACCAGGACGAGCTGGCCCGGTTCCTCTTTCGGGACAACGAATCGGGCACGCAGTTCCTCAAGGCGGTCCGGGGTACAACGGTCGGGGACGAACTGATCTGGTCGTTCAGGCGATGGGCCTTTAAAACCGGCCAGAGGAAGATGCGTGAGAAAACTCAGAAGATTATGGAGCAGGCGCTCGAAGGAGAAGACCTCCAACTGGTCCTGACCACACTTCCTCCAGATCTTCCCGACCCCGGGCCAGTACCATTCGACCCGAAGGAGAGGACGGCCGAGGCGAGCGGATCTGCTGCAGCCACCCCGAGCGAAGTGGATCCTTCGAAGAAGTAGACTTGACTTCTTCGCTTTGTAGTGAAATTGATCGGGAGCCCAGTCCCGAGTTGTACCGGGCACATTCAGATTCAATAAAATTTGTTTTTTGCTCAACTTGTACCGCTCGTTTTCCTTGCACTTTCACTTTCAATTATACACATGCCGAATATCCAATGCTCGACCTTGCGGCCTCATGGCCTGGTCGTACATCATTCGACTCGTTCAACACCCGACCTTATGGCCTTATGGCCCGGTCGTGCATCTTTTGATCGGTCTAATGCCCGACCTCGCGGCCTTATAGCCTAGTTGTGCATTTTTCGATCGGAGCATCGATGTTCTGCTGGCCTACCCGATCAGGTTTACCCGATCTCCTGGCCTTGTCGATTTTTGAAAACTATTAAGCCTCTTCGGTTGGGGTGTTCCCGAGCGACGGACCTATAGCACTTCCTTCATCCTAGCCCCCACACTATTGTGTGCTCGAGGCACGAGTGGGTGCGATAGTGGAAAGAAGTTGGACGGATCGGGGAATTATGCTGGAGCTCTGGCTTTCCCGATCGGTGGCATAACCTTGATGTCCGCCGAAGATGAGCGCATTTGACCGGTCGAGGTAGCGTAGTGTCGACTTAATCCACGTCCAACAAAGATAAGGGAAAAAAAACCGATCGGGCCGCTGCGTACAAACGGTCGAGCAATCACCGATCGTGTATACATTGAACTGTCCCGCTCGCAGGCGGTTAAGAAAATATTCATAATTTACAAACAAATGACGACCGAGGCTGACTCGCAGGCCGAGCCCCCACTTCGCCGATCCTTACTAAAAACAGGCTAATGCCTAAACAACACGAGGTCCTCGGAATTCCATGTCCCCTCGATCACCCTACCGGTTGTCATCTCCAGTCGGTATGTTCCCGGCCGCACGACCGCGCTGATAATGTACGGTCCTTCCCAATTCTGAGCTAGCTTCCCGCCTTCCAAGGGTTGACTGGCTTCCCGTCGGCATAGGACATAATCTCCCACCTAAAAATACCGAGGGTTGACCCGAACATCCTTTGTACTCTTGACTCTCTTCTGATACTCGGCCATACGCCGAGCGGCTAGCTCTCTCTTCTCCTCGACCCCATCGAGATCCACGACCATCGAGTGTTCGTTCTCTTCTGCATTGTAAGTTCGTTCTCGGTCGGTCGGGATCCATGCCTCGATCGGAAGTCGGGCTTCTGCTCCGTAGACAAGGGCGAATGGAGTTTCCAAAGTAGCTTCTCTCGGGGTGGTCCGATAAGTCCACAAGACATAGGGCAACTCATCGGCCTAACTACGACCAGCCGAGTGTAGCTTCTTCTTCAGACCTTCCAGGATTGTCCGATTGGCATTCTCTACTTGTCCATTTCCCTGTGGGTAAGCCACCGACGACCGGACGTGAGTCGTCCCGATCGTGGCCAAGAAATTTTGGAAGTACTGGCTTACGAATTGGCGGCGGTTGTCGCTGATGAGATGCACGGGCACACCAAAGCGGGAAATCACATTGTGCTATAAGAACCGAGCACATTGCTGAGAGGTGATCGTGGCTAACGGCTCGGCTTCAATCCACTTGGAGAAGTAATCGATGGCAACAATGACGAATTTTCTTCGATCGGCAAGTTGAGGGAAGGGTCCCAAGATGTCCACCCCCCACCTTGCGAAGGGAATTGCAGTCGTGACCGGCTGGTAGAAAGTGGCCGGTCGTCCAGGCATCCGGGCAAACAATTGGCACGTCTCACATTCCCGAGCGAGTTTTTCACAATCCAGCTAGAGGGACGGCCAATAATACCCGATCAGCATGATTCGGCGAGCTAACGATCGGCCTCCTTGATGTGACGAACAGATGCCCGAGTGCAATTCCTTCATTATGAGATCGGCCTCAAATGCGGTCAAGCAACGCATAAGAGGGCCTCCATACGATCGTCTATAGAGACGACCGTCCAAGACTTGGAACCTCGGGGCTCTAAGCTTGGCTTTCCGAGCACGCTGAGGGTCGTCCGGGAGCCGACCGTGCTCGAGGAACTCCTTCAGATCGGTGATCCAATTGTCTTCTGCCGGTTGAATAGGATTGACCGGCAACCGGTGGATGCTGTGCCTCGGGATCACCAAAATCCAAGAAATCTTCGACATGTGTTCCGGGGCGTCTTGGACCAATTTGGACAAGATGTCCGCATCGGCATTATCCCCGTTTAGGCTACTTCTTTGCTCCTCCCCGTTTGAGATGTTTTGGTTGCTTTAATGAGCTCATATTATTTGTGTTTCTAATTAAGAACTACTAGGCTAGGTGATGACAGTATTGGGTTTTGCTTCTCACCTCCAATTAAAAATGAAACTAATTTATAGCTCCATTCACATTGATGTTGCATGTGCATTTCGTATGGAGAACATGTTGTTGAAGATAGTGATGTGATCATATTCTCTGTGAAGCCTCAAATAGGTACACCCAGCATTCTTCTTGTTTCCTTTATCCTTTGTTATATCTCAATACAGTGATACTAATTTATTGTCAGTAACGAAGAAACTACTATTAGCAAATGATGTTGTTAGGAAAGAACAGGACATCTGCAAGTATGCAAAAGCAGTTATCTTCACACCTTAAAGCTCTGTAAGCCCTATGCAAGCTGTGTAGTGCCACTATTGCTTACTTAGTAAATAGACCCAACCTCCTGAAACTACCTTTCTTAATAACAGATGGGTTTGTGCTGGTACTGTTTGTAATTTGATTCGAGGTTAATATAATCTAGCACATTTTTTTTTGCTACGACTAGCATTGGGCTCTTCTTTAATTTTTATTTAGTTATTCGTGTCTGAATTACTTTTCTTTCTTCCTATATATGATACTCCCCTCACAATGAATAGTTTGTAGAGCTGTATATGGTGCTTGCGAGTTGTGACTGTCAATTTAGAATTGATATGGTTGATTTTGAGTATTGATATATTATGGTTTATGGATCTATAATGCATGATGAATTCATCAATTTATGTGGTCCATTGTTTTTTTTTTTTTACATAGCCTTCAAATCAATTTAAACGTCACCAATTTCCAATCAAAGTTTGTTTTGCCATGACAATAAATAAGGCACAAGGAAAAACATTTGATTTTGTAGGGATTTACTTGAAACAACCGGTGTTTTCACATGGACAGTTATATGATGCATTATCAAGAGCAAAGAAAGAAGATTGTGTAAAGATTTTACTTTGCAATACTCATCGCGATACAACTACTACAGACCTAACTGATAACATTGTCTATCAAGAAATTCTAAATGAAGCTTGTGGATAACTTCTTTGATCTAACTAGGTTATTTTTTACACTTTATGTGCAAAATATATTCATTTTTAAAAATAAAACCAGCTTAAGTGAATATAATTTGATTTTAATATATTGTGTCTATACAGATTACTACTCTACGCATTCAGATGCTCGATTTGTCCAACTTATATTGACCTTGATCTGGTATCAATATAAAGAATTTATGATTAGGGTTGTTCTCTCCCAGAGATACAACAACACAACTCTCAGCAGCTATGATTCTCAAGTAACCTTCTTCACCTTTTCCCTTTCTTCTCTAATTATTGTATTTGTTTATCCTTCATTATTTGTGTTTTCCTATTCTTGATTTGTCAAGTGTTCTACTGTGTCATAGGGTTGTGTTTCCCTATTCTTCATTTTTCTATTTATTCTTGGGTAATGGAATGGTTTGGGTAACAAAATCCTTCATAAATTCACTAGATGGCCAACATTATATTTTTGGACCAACCAGTTGGAACAGGATTTGGGTTGCACAGTGAATTTGACGGTCTTGATGTAGGCCTCTGATTTTACTTTGTTATTGGGTTGAGGAAGTAAAAATGTGACGAAACGGTTACTCTTTTGAGCTTTGTGCCGTTTCTAGGACATGCTTAAGTTCTTGTATTTTGGCTTCCCTAGAGCAAGAATGAAAGACTTCTTGAGTGCCATATGCCCATACATGTACTAAATGTATCAATGTGCTTCTCCAGAAGTGTACCAAAACTGGTAAGAGTTGCATACTCTCTTCTTTCTCTACTTATTTTTCTTGGTTCAATATTGCAACTGGCTCCTATTTGTAAAGTAAAAGGAACTTGATAACGGGTTTTGGAGTCTGGACTTTTTTTTTTTTTTTTTAAAAAATTGATGTGGATCTTTCTCTTGTAACCCTTAGCTTGTCCTCAATGCTATGATTTGTGTATCATGAGATTCAACCATTTCACGTGAGGACATGAATGGAATAAAAAGCAAGAGAATATGCTTTGTTCCTTTTTTAGGAAATGAGTTTGGATCTTTCACTTGTTTTGTTTTCAGTAAAATATGCCATATTGTAATGTGGTGAGTTGATGCTTTGCAGGGAGTTGAGGGAATTGAAGCTTATGGTCTAGACAAGTTGATCCAATTTGCTGCATCTCAGCTTAGTGACCAACTTCCTGAGTCTAGGGAAGCTGCCCGTGCTCTTTTATTGGAACTGCAAAGTGTCTATGAGAAGATAACAACAACAGTGACTGAAGATCAAGAAGCAATTTCTTGGGAGCAATTTTGCCAATCAAAGCTCTCACCCTTGAACGCTCAAGCTATCCTTCGAGTGACCAATGTTCCTAGGGAGGGTCTTGTGCAGGGATCCTAACAAATTACAAGCCGTAGCAGGTTTCTTTGGCTTTTACTGTGTTTTGGGTTCATTTTCTTATACCTGTACATACGATGGAAGTTTGAGATGATGAGAGGCGGTTGCAGCAGCATTTATTATTAATCTTGAGAAGTTGGCTTGATAGAAAGCAAAAGACAAAGCCATTTTTTAAGATTATAATCAATTTCTGTTTCATTATTTTAAAAATACATTTCTTTTGTATGTATTATTAGGGGAACAAAGCATCGTGCTACACTTGATGCATTAAAACGCTGTCGAGACTACAATGACGCTGTAATAAAACTTGCAAATCCAAAAATTGCAGAAATTTCTACAATTGATATTATCCCTCCATCAATTGATCTGGTATATATAAAAAAGATTTTAGACACTAATTCAATATTTTATACTTAACATTAACATTAATTTTTTTACTGATGACAACTTGTAGATTAAACCTATTTGGATAAAAGGGAAAATCAGATTTAAGCATCAAATAAAAAACACATGGTACATTGGATGTAGTCATTGTATGTAAAAGGTTTACGCAGAAAGTGACAAACAATTTCATTGCATGCATTGTGGTGAAATGAATGCAGTGGGAACACCACAGTTAGTAACAATTTTTATAGACATTTTATTTATTTTTTTTGTTAGAAGGAGGTCAGTATCAATTTAATCATTACACAAACATAATACAATAATGATAATATATAAACTGGATGTGGAAATTACTGATGGAAGTGGATGCCTTGTTGCATTTGTGTTTGGAAAATGTGCTGAACAACTATTACTCTCAACGAGCAAACAAGTTATGCAATTTGAACAACAGGTATTTCTCCTTTACCACCCACAACCACTCATGTTTTACAGTAAACTAACCTATGACTAACTAAATAAACATCTTGTAGGATCAACAGCTACGATTTCAACATATCAATAACCGCTTACAAGATGAAGAATATATAATACAATTGAGGTCTCAATCCTACACACAACAAGGCAAAAACATGGTATCATATACCATAACATCATTGCACGGTTCATTCTCATTCACTACCACAAGTAAACAAGATGCAATAAACAGACAACCAGCAAAAAGGAAACTCAACTTCACTAAAGATGGAGAAGAAGAAGACAATTCCGAGCCTCACCAAACACGCACTAAAAAAATTAATTTACTCTGCTCAAATTACTACTTTTTTTCATTATAGATAGCCAGCTTTATTTAGTGGTTTATTTGTTTTTACTTTAATTCTAATTTAGCTATTTCGAATTTCTTTATCTTTTATTACAATATATAATCACCAAGACTATTTCTATATCTTTTATTAATTTCACATTTTTTCTCTCTCATTATTATATTATGTGAATACTTTAACCAATTAAGAAACACTAATTTATAAATACACACTGGGCATTGGTCTAATCGCGCAAAGCGCGTGTCATAACTAGTATATATATATATATATATATATATATATATATATATATATATATATATATATATATATATATGTATGTATGTATATATATATATATATATATATATATATATATATATATATATATATATATATATATATACACACACACATATATATATATATACATATATATATATATATATATATATACATATATCCGTCCAGTTATTTGATTAAATGAATGGTTCAGATTATTTTGATTTTAATATTTTTTTTTTGATTTCTTTACTTTACCCCCTATTATATTATTTTCTTCCATTAAATACCACCACATTCAGTTAGTATAAACTTTAGTAACAGAATATTCCGTTAACTATTTATTATTCTTAATTTACTCATTGATTTCTATAAGAACTGTCTTAGGTTCGAACCCATCCCAATTAGAGTTGACATAATTGTTGAACGGAATAAGGGTCAAATAAGCCATCCAACCATACACAATAATGCAATTAGGCCACTGAACTCAAAAACGCTACAATTGAGTCCCTAAATTAACATATTTCAAACAATTTAGCTAATTTGCAGGTTTTCCCTCTTTCTAACACGTCACTTAATTTAAAATATTTTTTAAAAATAATTTTAAAAAAATTTGATTAAACTGAACTAAAATAATTTTTTTTTAAAAAAAAGCATCATCTCTAGAATAGCCAGTAGGGAGAGAAACTGGAGATGGCAGTGCGTAGGTCGCCGTCATAGACTTGGTGTTTGCAATCGGCAGTTCCGCACTTCCGCTTTGACTTCGCAGCGAGACTAAGAGAACTCGAGAAGGCCAAACCGCACTGGCAGCGCGCAGGTCGGAGACTCGGAGTTCGCAGTCGGCAGTTTCGACGTTCCCCAACGCGACCGCAAGTCGCCGGTCGCTTCGCGCCTTCGCCTTCGCATAGTTCGCAAAGAGCAGAGAGTTAGAGACAGAGAGAAGGCGCCATGGCCATGGCCGGAGACCTTCGTCTCCAACGGATACGATGGTTTTTTCTAATCTTTTATTTTTTGAGTTTATTTTAATTAATTATTTTTTAAAAATTATTTTAAAAAAAAATATTTTAATTTGAGTGACCTGTTAGAAAGGGGAAAAACCTGCAAATTGGACAAATTGCTTGAAATAGGTTAGTTTAGGGACTTAATTGTAGTTTTTTGAGTTCAATGCCCTAATTTCATTATCTTGTGCGGTTCGATTGTCTATTTGACCCTTATTCCTTGTTCAACATATACTACGAATATGAAGAGTGTATTAAAAATACAATATAAAACTGTGAAATTCTCTCTATAGATATTCTAGGGTTTTGCCTTCTCTTCTAGGGTTTTCCTAGGGTTTAAGCTATCTCTTTGCTTTTTCCGGCCGATCATCGGTCTTCATACCACGATCTGTGGTGTGTCTGCTGACTACGACCACATGGAGCCTACGGCGACGACTGATGAAGTTGACAAGCTTGCTAAAAGGTGGGCGGATTGGGCTTTGGAGGAGGAGTAAGCCGAGTTCGTTCCAATGGGGGATGACTTCGGCGTCATGGGAGACGGAGACGAAAAAACTTGAGCGGTGGTTGGCAGATTCCTCACGGCAAAGTTGATCAAATTGGAGTTCATGCGGCAGGTCTTGGCATCGGTTTGGCAACCGGTGAGGGGAGTGCAGGTCACCGAAATCCAACCGGGCTTGTTCTTGTTTGTTTTCTTCCACAAATTGATATGGAATATGTTATCGATGGAGGACCTTGGGCTTTTGAGAAGAACACGTTGGTTTTTCGGGAGGTGTTGGCCGGGGCGATCCCGGGGCAGGTGCCGTTGGATAAATTTGATATGTGGATGCAGCTGCATGATCTCCCGATGGGATATACGTCTGAGGCAGTCTTAGAAAAACCATGCAACTTTCTTGGTATGTTCGTAAAACATGATCAACGTTTTGTTGGTGCCCCCTAGCTCACATTCTATCGTATTCGGGTCTCGATCGTTGTGGACAAGCCTCTCCGTAGACGGATGAAGCTGGTGAAGAGGGACAAAACAACGACTTGGGTGACCTTTCGTTATAAACGGTTGCACAAATTCTATTTCTTTTGTGGTTTGATGGGGCATTTGCACACGTTTTGTATTAAGGCAAGAGAGGCTAGGATCCCGATCGAGCGGTACCCTTATGGCCCTAACATGCGAGCTGGCGGTTCTCGGGGTGCTTCTAGAGCAGTCGGAGATACCTGGTTGGTGTCGGTGGGGGGTAAGCTGCGTTTGGAGGAGGTTGACGTCGCTAAGGATGGCCGGTGTCAGGTTACGAGTTTGGTGACGGCCGGGCAAGTCGGTAGTCCAGTTGGGGGTGTTCGGCCAGATGATGATACCGTGGTGGCTACAGCGAAGCGGCGACGACAGTTTTCGGGGAGTGGTAGGCGGATTGTCCAGGGAGGTGGAGATGTGGCCATGTATGATGTTTCAAAAAACTTGCCTATGGCGGGAGCTGGATCTCAGCCCTGCCCGTCCTCATGAGTACGCTGAGCTGGAACTGTCGTGGCTTGGGCAATCCACACACAGTTCACGAGATTATGGACCTGGTGTCCCGTAAGAAGCCCGAATTTGTGTTCTTAATGGAAACTAAGGTTGGGAGGACACATGCAGAACGTCTCTGTTGGTCCCAAAAGAGGTAAGGTGAAAGTCTAGAGGGGGGGGGGGGGGGTGAATAGACTTTCAAACTTTTTGCACAATATAACAAAAGGTAAGCCAGAGATAAACCAAGACTCTTAACTAGATTGTTAGAGTCCGGTGCACAGCGGAATTAAATAAACGATACGGTGTGTGTGTAGATCGTGTCAAGATTATTGACGTGAGAAGCAAGCAAGAGCGGTAAGTAAAGAAAGCAGTAAAGAACACAAGGCAATTTATAGTGGTTCGCGAGGTGATGTAATCCTCCTACTCCACTTGCTCTTCTCAAAGAGCCAATTCACTATATCCACCACTTCTTGGTTCCAAGATACAATGAATTCCGTGATCTAGTGCTTTGATCACCAAGCCCACACTAATCACGCCCAGTGCCTCCAACACTGCTGCTTCGGGTTTCACGTCGCCGCGTTACTTTCCCAGGATTTCACAACTCCGTGCTACTTTCCCGCTGTCTTCTACAATCCGGTAGAAACGTATCTTCCGTGATCTGGTGCTTTGATCACCAAGCCCACACCAATCACGCCCAATGTCTTCCGACACTGCTGCTTCGGATCTCACATCTCCGTGTGACAATCCAGGATTTCACAACTCCGTGTTACTTTCCTCCTTTCCCTTGTTTTGCTCCAAAACAAGTTTTGCCTTGCTTCCAACTTTGAGATTCTGTAGATGATCTTCGTTGATGCGCTGAATCTCTTGAAGTTGATGAAGATTTCAACACTCTTGGATATTTCTTTTCTAAGCTCTGTATCACTCTGAATGTTTATCTCACAAAAGATATATCAATTTAAGCTCCTGAGATGGAAAGCTTTCTTTGAATTTTGTATGCTCTGTTTAGCTCTGTATTTTTGCTCTATTGCGTTCTTGCTTCTGCTTTCCTCAGCTTCAATCTT